AATTTTTTGATTCTTACTGTTTTTTTAAAAAAATTCAGTCACGGTTACTGACTCTTGTCAAATTTCTTATCAGAATCAAAAGAAATGACCACATCCTTTTTAAAATATAGATCTATTTTTTACTATTAATGGATTTCCTAGCTTTGAAGCATTCTTGCCATTCTGGAGTAGACACTACCTGGTCATTATATATATATTTTAATATGCTACTGGAGTCCGCGTGATGATATTTTATTTAGAATTTTTCTCAGTAATTTGGAAGCAAGATTGGGATCTGTTTTTCTTTTATTGTATACAATCTTTATCATTTTTACATCAATTTCCTTTTTGGGAGGGGCATTACATCAATTTTCAATTTACTTCATAGAACTAATTAGGAAGTTTTCCATTATGCTGTCTGTGTATTTTAAGCAACATTGAAAAGATCTGCTCTTCAAATGTTTGCTGTAGTCCCCGTGTGAAATCATCTAGGCCTGGCAGTCTTTCTCTTGATGATCTAGGGGTGATTGGAATGATATGCTCACTTGTACTTCTGTTTTAGTCCTCATTGTCCTAAATGACTGAGGGCTGCAGGTGTCAGAAAGTAGAAATTAAGCTTTCAAGGGTAGAGAGTACCTTTCCCAAGGCATATTGGGGCAGGGTTTGTGTTGATAATGTAAAGAGTTGACAGTAACAAATATTCTTCACTTGACCAAATTTAGTCAGGCTCTGAACTTCTAGGCCCATCTGTGTACTTCTTGTAAAATCCACTTTTCACGAGAAGTCCTGCTAAATCAGTTGAGCAAGAAGTCCCTGACCTGCTGGATCTGATCATGCTTCTCCTCTGATCAGGTCCTAACATTCACTATTTCTCAGGTGATGTCTGGTCATCCCGGCCTGTCTTCAGCAAGAATCCCATTAGGTTGGTTTATTTGGAGTTCTCTATCCCTGATGTTTCCTCTTAGTAATTTTTAATGCACCGAGTGCCAACCAGCTCCATGGTTATAAATTCCCACTTGCCCATGCTATATTGAGAGTTGAGCTCCATCTCTTTCCTCCACTGCAAAATCCCATTGCCTTGGTGCCTATACCCCTCATGATGAATAAAATCTGCCTTACCAAGTGTCATGAAATAAATTTTCCAATTATACAATAGTGTAATCCCACCTAGGATGGAGGCAAAGGATGGAAGCAATGTTGGTGGATGGGAGATCTAAGAGGAGGCAGGATCAGCTGCTTTTTTCCCAGAGAGTTTTTATCTGACTCTACCTTCCAGCCTATCTTGGAGGACTCTGTCATGTTTTCACAGCTGGAAAGGCAAAGAAAATCTTCCAGAGTCCACTGAACTTCTTGGCAGCCTTTAGGGTTGGATGAGGTCCTCAGAGTCATATCATCCAAGGGAACTTGAACAAACAAAAGTCAGAGATCTGACCCCAAATTCTCCTCACTTGTTCACTGTGAAGCTCTGTTGTCCATAAGCCCTGCGGCTCACAGACTTATTACTACACCTCAGATCATAGGCATTCCTTATGGGTTCAATCTTTGGTTTGCTGAGACAGCTTCCTCTGTAGCTTTGGAACGACTGTCCCATTGCTGAGTTCTCTCTCTCCTGTGAGGTGACTCTGCAAGGCAGGTAGGGGTCAGAGGACATGGGATGACCAAATTTGACCCCAAAGGCTGGGTCCTTTTTCCTTCTTGGACTCAAAATTAAGTTCCAGTTGAGCAGTGGAGACTTTTTATTCTTGGCCAACACAGAAGAACTGGAAGATAAACTTAAAAATGAACTTCCTACCCTTGGGGGTCAGGAGGTTATTAGACATAGGGTAGCAAAATAAGGATGATGGATAGGGGAGGAATATCTTCTTATAATGAAGTTAGAGGTCGTCTGTGTCACTCTGGCAGCCATCTTAGATCTGACCAGTTTTAGCCGGTTTACCTGAAGAACTTGTGGCCTTCAGGCATCCTGTCCTTAATGTTAAGCAAGATTCGGCAAGTTTAAAAGTTCAGCTAAGGCACCTGGGTTGTACAAGATCAGGGCAAGGTAACAAGAGTGGCTTTGCTCTTCCTGGTGCCTAGAGTGGTCTTGTCCTCCTCGTTCCCACTGCTTCCTGTCCCCCATATTCCCTCAGCCCTCTTTCTTGCTGCTTTCTACCACAAACACAGCAGCCATCAGGAAGCACTGGTCTGTGGTGGAGGGGTGGGAGTGTGGGATGAGAAAGTCACTGCCCCCAGCAGTTGCAGGATGTCCATTGTCTGTTAGAGGCTTGGACGGGATGGAGTGGACAGTGTGAGATCCCTGGAGCTCCTGCCCCTACTTCCAAGCCAAAGAGAGGTCTGGAGAGGCCGGAGCACATAAACTCTGAGAAATTGGTTTGTCTCATGAGAGGACACCGAGTTGCCCCCAGTTTTTCACAGGCCTTGTGGAAAGTATGACCAGACTCAGCCCTCTTTTCTCAGAACTGTGGTCCCTGCCAGCCACATGTTGTCAGGACTTGGCTTGAGGAGTTGGCTGGGGGGTCTTGGGGGGCTCTCAGCAGGCTGAGCTATGGAAGGGTGTCCTGGAGAGTGTTTTACATGCTAGGTGTGCACCCCTTCCCCTTTCTAGGCAATATGAAATCTGCTCTCCAATGCCTACACCCACCCAGCTGCACCAAGGCTCACCAGGCCTGTCCAGCCCGTAACCTCCAAAGGAAATATGGGTCAGCACCTGGCTGGCCTCAGAGGTTCCTGTTGTGTTGCAGGGGCTGCTGACTGGTCCCAAAGCATAGGATGGTCAGTCTTAGGTGCTCTCTGCCAGGCCACTTCTCGCTGCTGACTGGTCCCAAAGCATAGGATGGTCAGTCTTAGGTGCTCTCTGCCAGGCCACTTCTCAGAGCTGTGCTTCTCACTCTGGCTAGGTGGATGGATCCGCCAGCTCCCCACCTGGAGTCCCTGTAGGGGTTTCACAGAGGGCCCTGCAGAGGTCTCCATGAAGAGATGCTTCTGCTCTTTACTTTCCATCAGGGCAGCCTCAAGCTCTGACTGCCGCAGTGACTCCTTCCCTAAAAAAACATCGTATCATCTTCTTTTTATCTCAGATCCATAGGAATGAGAAGATGCTGCAGAACCCTGGCTTTGGAGTCTGGAGACTGGGGTTTTACTCATGGTGAAATACACTAGATAGAAAAAGGTTATCTTCCTCTGATTATCCTCAATATCATTTTCAAGGCACCTTACGGGACATTCATTTGTTGAATCCATATAACAACCCTCTGAGGGAAGTATTGTTATTCTTATACGCAGATGAGGAAACAGGGGTGGAGTGGCTGAATAATTTTCCCAAGATCACCAAACCAGGATGACTTTGGTCCCTGGTATTACTCCATACTCTGTTCACTGTCACCCTTGAAGGAAGAGCACAATGGATCAAAATGGACATGACCATATCCCTATGTGAACTAGTTGCTTAGAAATAAATAGGAAATTTCTTTAAACTTTTTTTTTTAATAAAGCAACTCTAGGTTTCTTTGGATTTCTCATTGTGTAAGATAAACCCACCTTTTTGGACCTCACCTGCTCCACTATAGAAACTTGGGCTGTGAATCTGAGTATCTACCTTTGTCTGTGCTGCGTTCCCACTAGCTGATTGTGGCTCTCCCACCTCTGGTACCTCTTGATCTGGCAACTGATTTGGACAAAATGCCTCCTGTTCAACCCAGCACTTCCCCTTGGACATAAGTTTGGCTTTATCACTTCTTCAACTGATGGCACTGTGGCTGTTGAAAGGTAGTGGAGATGTCTCCTGATGTGAGCCTTAAAGGAGGTCGAGTTTGGGTGGGCAAAGAGAAGCTGGTAAGGTGTGCATTGTAAAAGGGTCTGAAGGGGGCTGCGACGGTCATGTATAGAGTGAGGAATGGGAAGAACCCAGGGAGGGGAAGAAGCTGGTCTGAGTCCCCTGCAGGGGAGAAGGAGGGCTGGAGACTGAATGTGGCTGGAATGAAGGGGACAGGACTAGGCTTTGGATGTTTCCCCTGGAAGAGATGCAGATTTGGGGTATATCTACCAAGGAGCGTGCCCAGGATAGCTGTTCTGAGAGTCTAGGAAGCCCATGAATATGGTCCTCCATCTCTTCTCTCAAGTAGTTTCACCAGAGAGGAAGCTTTGTAAGACCATAATTTCTCACCTTGGTATCTTCAGAGCCTCCGAGTCTGGTACTTTGCAGGTACTCAGGGACTTTTAAATGAATGAAGGGAGGGGAAGACAGAGAAGGAGAGAAGAAGGAAGGGCTAGTCAACAGCAAGACCTAGTGATGAGCCAGGAGCCCCAGAAAAGCGTCAACCAATGCTTTCCCAGAGTTAGATCAGCAGGACTCACTCTTCTCCATACTTCAGACATTCATGGGGTCACTGTGGACAGGAGAACTTGCTCTTGTAGCGTCTCCTGAGTCTACTGCATCCGAGGAACTAATCCAAAGTTCAACAAGTCTCAATTCAGGTACACAAGACCAAAGGGATAAGATTTGAGGAGAACACGTCATTCAAGGGAGAGTTGCTCTGTTGGACCCTTGTCCCAGACCGTGTCTGACCTGTAAGTACCCACACTTACAAGTTTTCATTAGGTTGCAGACTCTTCAGCAGGGAGAAGTCAAGGGAGCCTAGTGAGCTGTTCTGGATCAGTAACAGGTTCTCCAGAATCTTAGGTACTGCTCTGGTGCCCTTGAACTCTTTAGATACTAAAGTTTGATTTTTAAAAACTGCCTTAAGGCAGAATTTAAAGTAATCAGTTGACTAACAGTCACCAAAGACTAGTATACCTCTAACCACATTTTTGTTTACTTTTCACTGTGTTTCCTTCACGGTCTTTCTTGTGGCTCACCCTATGTAGATTGTGAGCTTATCTGTTTCTGACATTGCTTTCGTGAGCTCAGTTTTTCCGAGACCCTCTTTCCTCACAGGCTCGGTTTCATCTTGCCATCTGCAGTCGGCCAGTTTCAGTCACAGAAGAGGACACATCTGCTTCCTGTAGGCCCCCTGGGCAGAAGCATGCACTGGTGCCTGCTCCTGATCTGGGCCCAGGGCCTGAGGCAGGCTCTCCTCCTCGCCTCAGGTAAGGCCTGGAAAGCTATTGAACTTGGGGAGGAGGAAAGAGCAAAGTTGAGCTTGACCTAGAGACCAGGGCACTCTTCAGGGAACTGGTGCTTGCCACCAGTTTGAAGCAAGAAAACATGGTTCTCAGAGTCCTGTGTTCTCACTTTCGAGTGAGAAAAGACCTTTGAGAATGAGATGCACCTGTATTGGATGGCTGAGCCTCAGGGCTGTGGATCTTCAGGGTGGGGGGTTGCAACCAGCCAGCATTAGAACGGAGGCAGGAGAAGGAGAGGGGAGTAAGAAGGAGGGCAAAAAGGAAGAATAAGCAATTTGCTTTTAGAAGCTCTCTCCTGCTTCTTTTTCTATTTTTGAGGAATCTTCCAGGTTGTTGGTAGTAGTTTCCTATGGATCAATAATATCTTCCTCATAGATTCCAGAAGTATTGACCATTACAGACGTAATTTTTTGTTAAATTGATTTCTTATAGACCAAAAACCTTAGACAAATATTTCTGAGAAGGGGGGAACAGAAATATTTTTTAAAAACTGTAGTGCCAACAAATTAATGTTGCTTTCTGAACCTTTTAAGACTGGAGAGGTGCCCTGGGATGCTGGGGGTGGTGAGCATTGGAGAGAATAGCTTTGGTTGGGAGAAGCAGAGTTTCTGGCTAAGTCTCCTTTCCCCTGAATTTCTTGGCTTCCCCAAAGGATTTTCCAGAAACCCCCAATGTCCATCAATGAAATAGCCAGGCTTTGCTTCAAAGGAACCCAGCACGGGAGCAGGCTGCTGGAGTACACAGAAAAGTCAAAGATGTGGTGCTGTCTCTGGGGGAGACAAAATAAGGATGTGAAAATAATCAAAGAGCTGGTCATGAGGCTAGACGGCAGAATGTCCTGAGAGGGCGAAGTGCTAGGTCTCACAGCCTCAGCCAGGCCCTTAATAAAGTGCTAATTATACAACCGGGGCAGTGAGTGTGAAAGGACAAGGGAGGTGTCTCTGGGCTCAGGTCCTCAGGGATGCAGGGGAGGAAATGCAGATTTGACAAGGCGCTAAGTGAGTGGGGGCGGAGAGGTGGGGAGACAGAAGAAAGCTCTGGAAGTAGAGGTGATGGAGGAAAGGAGCCAGGCTGGACAGAATGGAGGCGTATGAAAAAGGGCAAGAGGACCGGAAGGAGCCAAGGGCTGGGGCTGGGAGACTTAATTGACAGTGAGGAAGAGGAATGCCTCTCGAAATGAAAACAGAAACAATAGTGGTCTGTTTAGAGGAGGGACAGGATGGACTGGAGAAACGATCATTCCTAAAACCAATTCTGGCCCCCTTGGAATTTCTATAGGGAGATTATAGGCCCACGGGTGACCTGGAACTTACGTGTGCCCCTTTTCTCTTTCCTAAAAGTTACGACAGGCACAATAATGATGAAGGGGAACATTTCTGCAGAGGAAGGTGGCTCGGTCATCTTACAGTGTCATCTCTCCTTCACCATGACTGAAGTGACCCAAGTCAACTGGGAACAGCGGGACCAACTTCTAGCCATTTGTCATACTGAATATGGGTGGTACATCAACCCGGCCTTCCGTGAGCGGGTGGCCCCGGGCCCTCACTTTGGCCTCACTTTCCGCTCACTGACCACGAATGACACGGGGGAGTACTTCTGCATCTATCACACCTACCCTGATGGGATTTACAAGGGGAGCATCTTCCTGGAGGTCCTAGGAAGCTCAGGTATTTCCTCAGGAGCAGCATAGAAAATGCCATCCTGACACAGTCTGGGGAGCAAAGCTCGGTCCTGGAGCACATTCGAATCACTTGTGGAGTTTTTAAAGCATTCTGATACCAGGGCCCTCACACAGACCAATGAAATCAGAATCTCTAGGGGCAAACAAGGATGTGATGTGATCCCTAAGCATCCTGGTGATTCAATTTGCAGCTAGGACTGAGAGCCACTGCTCTTGAGTGGGAAGCAGAGCTTATCTATATTACAAGGAAGAGCGATTGGTAAGGTCATATGCTCATTTATTGATTTAGTGTCAATCATGCACATTATAATTAGCCCTTAAGTTTATAAAGATCAGAGCTAGTTAATGTACAATAATTGGCATTGGTTTTGCATTTCAGAGTTTCCAAAATTCCTTCAGTCCTTACCCCCTTGGATGCTTAAACCATTTCTCCCAAAGTTGGAAAGGATTATTATCCTATCTGAGAGATAGTATAGGGAGTGGTTCAGAGCTCAAACTCTGACACCAGACAGCCTGGATTCAAATTCTTCTTTGCTGTTGACCTCAGACAAGATTACTCAGCTCCTCTGAGCATCGTTTTTTTTTTTTTCATCTGTGCAATAAGGATGTATGTAAGACCTTATGAGGTGCTAATGTGGGATTGGATTACCTACTGCAAGAAAATATCCTTACATCAGTGCCTGGATCATGGTAAGCACCATGTAAGCGTTGACTGTGAATGTGATTCTTATTTGACTGTTTGATGAGGGTGAAAACTTAGGCTTGTATCTAGTTGCACAGAGTGGTAGAGCTGATGTTAACACAGGTGTTCTACTTCCATGGACCTCCAAACTCAGAATGTCTACTTTCTGACATCAATTATGTTGGGGATTAATTTTCAGGAGTTTTCAAAGTATGAGTATATTGAGAAAATGAAAGTTTACCTTAAAGTTTCCTTTCAAATGTCACTTCTTGGCTGGTCCCAACCGAGGCCAAATGCCATGAGTAGTTAAGTGCCTAGGTTCCAGAATCACATTACTGGGGTTTGATATTGGAATGGGTAAATTATTTAGCTTTCTCTCAGTTTTCTCATTCATAAAATGTGGTGAACAATCTCATGAGCTGTTATGAATCAGGTCTTGTAACAGTGCTGAGCACATAATAAGCTTAACTTAATAAACACTTGTTATTATACTATTTATTGCCTTGTGGTTAGAGGAGATCTAGACAATAACAGAGCAGAGGACCAGAAAGCATAACCACCTGATGGTCTTTACCATTTTGGGCTTTTGTCATAAGCCCAAGGGCTCATCAGCTACTGCAGGACTGGGGATAGGGTGGGATCCACACAGATCACCTCCTACCCCCATGGCATGGAGGCCCCAGGAACTGGAGCCCACAGGGGAACTATATTATGTTTGCTCATGGCTAAAACATGAGAAAATATAATATAGGCTAAAACATGTCCAGGGACTGATGCTCCTAGCAAGCATACTTGTCCCTGGCCACAGCGGCACAGCTATTCTCCATGGGAAAATGGAGAAATGAAGGGGCAAGTGTCTTCCCTGTATCTCATGGGCCTTCTGGGGAGGAGCATTCAGAAGACATTCTATTGGACCCCTGATCCACTCCTGCCCAAGGGCCACACATTTCCACTCTTTTTGCCCTGGCAGACCTCAGGGCCACCACTGATCACATGTAGTTTTCCTCCTGTTTCTCAAGGGCTTAGTTGCTTATCTGGATTGCAAGACCTTTATATAATTACTCGCACTAACTCCAAACCTTAACTTTTTTCTGACCCTAATCTCAAACCTTAGTCCAAGTTTCTAGTAACTACCACATGTAAGCTATTTCTAACCTTAAAGCTAGAACTAACCCTACAGCTCACCTGATACTAAGCACGAGTCTTAAGTATCCTTTTGCAGAGTCCACCCCTGCTCCAGCTGCATGTTCTGGTGCTTGCTCTATGGCTGCTTCTGTTCCAAAGACCTTGAAGTCTTTGATCATTGAATATGACTGTGAATGGAAGAATTGGAGTTTTAACTTCAAACAGAAATTTCCAATGAAGGTGATATTCTTAATATCCAAAATACTTTCTGGTCCTAATTATATCTCTAAACCTAAACAAATTCATTATCATAACCTCCCCTTAAACGTGGCCGTGGTATTAACCTTCTGCTTCTATCATCAAGATGGAAGAGAATCCAGTCTCAATCCTGTCCCCCAGGCTGGCTCTGACCTCAGCTATGAGCACAGATCTTATCTGGGCTCTGTGGGTAGCCCTCTGCAGCCCACCCTGACTCTTGCAGGGTGTCTGCTATTTGGTTTCTATGTGCCTTCTTTCCCACTGTGTGAACTTCATTGCTGTGGTCAGAGATGCCTGGCTTAGCCTATTGAGACTGAGTCCTCAGAGTGGGAGGAGCATGGCATTTGGCTTTTGGACAGATACTGCCCTTGTCCTAGGGGATTTGGAGACCTTAGCAGCCATTCTAGCAATTTCAGACCTTAGAAGGTAGCAAGGCCAGGCCTCTGCTAGACCCTTGTTTTCCAAGTCTGCCCTGGACTCTTAGGTCCTGCCTAAGGCCCTGGGGTGGAGGTAGAAGAGGGATGAAGTGGCCTGGAAACTCTTCTACCCATAGCACAGCATGCATCAGGACAACTGTTTGGGTTCTCTCATATTCTCCTTAAATCAAATACCACTCATGTCTTCAAAACTCCCCTCTTGCCTCTTTTTTCTTTCCATTATATTTTATGTCTTAAAGAGATTCGCTTGTTCATACTCTCCTTCATGCTACAAATATTTCATATCTATTATGTGTCAGGTGCTGGTAAAACAGCAAAGGATAAGGCTCCAGAGCCTTCCTCCCTCCAGAGTTTCACAGCTGAGCTGGAAATAAGGGTTAAGGAGAAAAGTCACATGGCTTTTCTTTTCATAATTTGATATTAATTTATTGCATTTCTAATTAAATGGATTTTAATGATATGGTTATGTATATGAAGTGTAATGCAAGAAATTGCTCACTTTTTGGATTTTCTTCTGATGGTATTAATTCTTTCATTTCATGATTACTGAAGATGATCTTGTGGGATAGAGGAAAGGAGTGCTAAGAAGAACTTGCTCTGGTTCAAATACAGGAGGCATGACCATACTTGGAGATGAGTCATTGATTTCCTGATAGTCCAGGTGGACTCTTTGCTGTCCAAAGAGTTGGACTTAAAGACTCTAGGCCTGTGGTTGGAGAAAGGCACTTGTGGTTGGAGAAAGGCACTTGTGTGTCCCTGGGCCCTGAAGCTGAGGTTTCCCTGGGAAGGCAGCTTCGCTTTGAGTCTCTGCCACTCACCTCTATTTTGTCCTCCCTCTAGAGCGCAGCGTCGGGTTCCAGGTCCCATTGCTTGCAGTGCTGGGGGTCATCGGCATAGCAGTCATCGGGATGGTGGCAGTGGCTAAAAAGGTAATGACTCTGGCTACACACTTCAGTCAAGAACATCTCTGTCCCTGCCACCTGGTGCTTTCAGTCCTTTCTGTCCAGAGAGAGACAGAGAGAGCCAGATGTGACCTCCCCTGTTGCCCCTTGTACCTTTTTCTTGGCATTGTTCTGCCTTTGAATGCATTTAGGTTCTTCCCTTGTCCCTCTTCCAGGCTGGAAGCTCCTGCAAGGTAGAACCTGAATCCTACCTGTCTTGCTCTCTGCAGTTGCTGGTTCCTGCCTGACCCTTAAGCCACTACTCTGGGAGTTCATCTACTCTAAGTTTCATGCATCTTAGAGGATGTCTACTGTGTGCTAGGGCTTTCTTTATAGTAGCTCATTTAATTTTTCACAACTCTTAGCTGGGGCTGAGTAGCCCAGCACTTCTGTAGAATGGGAAATGAACACTAAAAATCTGGGGACCACAGATGCACGGCAAGATCAATGGGTTGTAAATCCTCTGCTGCTTCAGGTTAGAGGTCTTGTGGTGGAAAGAGTAATGGAGGGAGAACTGAGAGATCTAGTTTCTAGTTTGGCACTGAGTGTATGGTTTTTTCCAGGTCTTCGCTTCTTCATATGTAAAATGGGGTTTGTCATTCTGTGTGCTCTATATCACAAAGTTGTGATGAACGGGTGGCGTATGTCACGTGAAAGCTTTGTCATGGTGAAGAACCATGTCAGTGTCCTTGCTGTTACAAACTGGAAGCTCTTGCTTGGAATGAGCAGGGGAGTCCTCACTCCCTGGTCTGGCTAATCTCTTGGGTTTTTCTGGTAGCCCAACTCTCCTTTATTCAGTTCACTACACAAACTTTTTGGGGAATGCAGCCTGTGTTCCCAAACTGTTTTCCTTCTTTATCCCAGAGCTTCTTCCTAGATTCTGACCCACTCTTCCTCCAAGGATGGTTGTAGTCAGTTAATAACTCATCTCTGTAGTCCAAAATTACTCCCTCTGGACTATGTACTTGGTGCTGTTGTTACTGATGTGTGTGGATTTATACCTACCATCTTTTCTTCATGTTTGCCTTCCCCCCATTCTACCTGTCATCTTTTGAATTAAGGTTCTCTTTAATTCAAAATAGTTTTCTTTATTATTAAAAAAAAAAAAAAACTATTTGTAGTACTACCAGAAATGTATGAGTGTGCCTTTCCCCCCACATCTTCATGGAAAATAGTATGGAGATTCCTTGGAAAACTTGGAACGGAACCAACATTCAACCCAGTTATCCCACTCCTCCGTTTATACCCAAAGGACTTAAAAACAGCAAACTACAGGGATACAGCCTTATCAGTGTTTACAGACGCACAATTCACAACAGCTAAAATGTAGAACCAACCTAGATGTCCTTCAGTAGATGAATGAATAGGGAAACTTTGGTATATATACACAATGGAACTCAGCATTGAAAGAGAATAAAATCATGGCATTTGCAGGTAAATAGATGGAGTTGGAGAATATAATGCTAAGTGAAGCAAGTCAATCCCAAAAAACCAAAAGCCGCGTATTTTCTTAGATATGAGGATGCTGACTAACAATGGCCATCCAGGGCTGGTGGAGCGGGGGTGGGGAGTAGGAGGGGTGGGGTGGTGGTGGGGGGTCATGGGAGGAATGGGAGAACTTTAGATAGGACAAAGGGGAGGGAGAGGAAAGGAAGGGGCAAGGGGGTAGGAATGATAAGTTAGACATCATTACTCTAAGTACATTGATGAAAATATGAATGGTGGGAAAAATAGTTTGTGTACAATCAGGGACTTGAAAAATTGTGCTCTATATGTGTAATATGAAATGAATTGCATTCTGCCATCATTGTATAACAAATTAGAATAAAAAATAATTTAATTTAAAAAAGAAAAAAGTTGAAATAGTGGGAAAAAAACCTATTTGTTAGCTATGTACCCCTGACTAATTAATATCTCTATTAGTACTAATAAATTAGTGCTTTTATCATCTCCTAGGTTATACAAGAATCTTAGAGCATGTTAACTCTTTTTATCTCCCCCCTTCTCCAACTTATTGCTGTTATTACTATGCCTTTAAATTATCTGTACATTTTTTTTTTTTGTATTGAGGATTGAATCCAGGGTTGCTTAATCATTCAGCCACATCCCCAACCCTTTTTTTTTTTAAAAAAAAAAAATGTTTAATTTTGAGACAGTTGCTGATTCTGGCTTTGAACTTGTGATCCTCTTGCCTCAACCTCTGGAGTCGCTGTGATTATAGGTATATGTCACCACACCCTGCAGTTTTGTCTACATTTTAAATCCCCAAAGAAATGGGTTTTATTGTTTTATGAGTCGATATTCATTTAGATCCACCCTTTCTGTTGCTCTTTACTCTGTCCTGTATGTCCTGTGTTGTAACTAGGATCATTTTCCTTGTGCCTGAAGTAAGTCCTGCAGTATTTCCTTTACTGCAGGTCTGTGGGTGAGGAGTTATTTTGGTTTTTGTTTGTCTAAAAATATTTTTCCCCCGAATGTAAAAATAATACATTTGTTTTGCCAGGTATAGAATTCTATGTTGGCGATTATTTTCTTTTAGGACATGGAAAATATTATTCCATTGTCTAGCTTCCTATATTTTTGTTGAGAAACCAGGTCTTGTTTTTGATACTTTGAAAATGTCTTTTTTTTTTCTTTCCTTTTGGTTCTTTTAAATTTCCCTTGTCTTTCTTCAGCAATTGTACCATGATATAATTAGGTGTAGTCATCTTTGTATTTATTGTTTGGAGCTGGGGTGGAGTGCCTTTTCAATCTGTGTTTTGATGGTTTTTGTCAGTTTTAGAACAATCCTGGCCATTAGTTCTTCCTATCTTCCTTCTCCAATCTTGCTTTCTTCTGCTTCTGGAGCTCTAATGACAGGTATTTTTAGACATTTTCACTTTTCTCCTACACTACTCTGAGTCTCTCTCTCTCTTTTTTTCTTATTTTTTTTTTTTTTTTTGTATTTTCCATCCATTTGTCTCGTTATATTTTATAGTAGATGTTTTCTTCTGACATACCTTCCAGGTTCCTAAGTATCTCTTCTGATGTATCTATTCTTTGTTTAAATAGTTCATAGTCTGTCAAAATTCCCAATCTTGTCTTTTAAATTATTTGAAAATATTAATCAATTATTTTGAAGCTTGTGCCTGATCATTTTATTAATCGGATCCTCCTTTAGTCTTTTTCTATTGCCTATTTTTACTTGTTTATGGGTCATAACTTATCTTCTTAACTAGTACTTTTCATTAAGGGTGGTGAATTCTACATGAAAAACGATAGCAATAATTCGAGGCTCTGGTAATATCATCTTCCTCCAGGGACTATTCCCTTTGTACCTGGTGGGTGGCAGGTCTAGAGGCACTAACAATCCCGGGTCACCCTAATTAAATCAATGTTGAGGGGCTTTTGTGCTGGATTTCAATTTCGGCTACTCTCTTGCTCTTGGTCCTTTGGGATCCACTTAAAAACCCATAATATTTTCCAAAGTCCTCCCTTCCAAGGAGGTTTCGGAACCCAACTTTTGTCCCTCTTGTCAGAAGCTCTCTGCAGCTTATCTGCCTCTCAGCTATAACTTTCAGACAATTCTCTCCAGGGGAAAATGTCCCCACATTCTCACCATCTGTCTCTCTGGGTTTCTTCTTTCACCCCTAGATTCCTCATTGATCTTTCAGATCTCTAATTTCTTCAAGCAGATGTTTCTAATATTTCGTTGATCTTTTCTAGTTTTTCTCAGGAGAAGGTTTGGTTCAAAGCAACACAGTCAACCGAGGTCCACCAGAGGCAGAACTCCTCTTTAGGATGTCATGTTTCACATTTGCATTTGAAACTTGACTCCTACAAGCAGGCAGATTCAGCCGGCTCACCTTTGTTATGCCTTGGGGTCTTTGGGGCCAAGATCCTCACAGGAGTCACAGCAGCCCCTCAGTTCCTAATTCCTAACCAGCCACTTTCCCTCCATCTGACTAGGTCTTCGATAATCCCAGTGAGAGAGGAATTTGGTCAAACTTTGTGTCCTTAGTCTCTGGTTCCATTTTGTTTTCCTGTTGTGAGTTCGTTCTTTCTCTCTCTCTCTCTCCCAGAAAAGAACCACCCTCTAATTTTTCTCTTTTTTTCTAATTTAACTTCTAGTTGAATTTTTGTTTTATTTTGCTTTTACTCATGTTGATCTTTTGAAGACCACACACTTGATTTTCTCCCCAGGTCTCAGATTTTGGATGAATTACATAAATAAGAATTGCTTAATAAGAAAGTATCATTATAATATTCTCTAGCTTAGACCTCAAGGTATTTTGCATTTTAAACAGTCTTAATTTTATATCCTTGCCTTGACCTCATTGTATATGTTTTTCTACTGTTATTAATGCTACTGATGAGATTACACTTTTTCCTGCATATTAATATCTGTTATCAGGGACTCATCTTGGACTTTTAGCTTAATATTTAACATCTTAAATTCTGACAGTTTTCATAAACCTACTCTGTTTTTCTCAATCTACCACCAATATCAAGGGTATAATATAAAAAATTACATGTTCTATTTGACATACGTTGTCTTCAACCTGATTCATAAATGATGAGAGCCCAGGACTCCTCACCCGAATCTTACCTGACCAAGAAGAGATTGAAATGAGGATGCAGAAAGATATTTTGGTGGCAGAGCCAAAGTCATGCATCCTCAGAGAGGTTCAAATTGCCCAGGTCTTCCCTAGTCACAGGTCCAACAGTTCAAAGGCACCTGTAGGGACCTTGCTAATTTGGTCCTTTAGGAACTAAAGATTCTTCAAAGGTAGGAAAAGCTCACACCATGGTGATTTCCCTGTGTAAATTACAGGAGGCTTTATACTACAGTTGATTTCTTGGTACATTAATTTGTTTGCAAAAATCTCTATTGTGTCACAATTCAAACCCTCTCTTTGTGGTTATAAGACAAGCTTTGAGGTTACTGATCTGCCTGGTTCACAGGGATGATGCCATGTATATTTAATCATTCACCAGAGCTGGTCAACCAGACTGTGGGGGACCCAGTGGGGGCTGAGATGTGCCTGGTACTAACAAGGAAGCCCACAATCTATAGTATTTTCATTTATGTCACAGGTGTCACAACTGACATGGTCAAGAAATGAAACCTCTAAGGGAAAGTGAGAACGAGAGGAGTGATAGGCTGGTGGGAGAGGAGGAAACACGACATTGATCTGCAAGCTGGGAAGGGAGCTGCTATGGTGGCTGGTGAACAGATGTCCTCTGCTGTCACCAGCATTCTGCAGCTCTGGAATGGAAGGATTAAAGCCTCTTCAGAGGCAATGGAACACGTTTTTTTTCTGTTAAGTATTCAAGGCTGGTTCATTTTCATGCCAGGCACCCAGATTAACTTTGGTCAACATGGAGATCGAGAAATAAGAAAATGTGCAAAGACAGTATCTATCAAGTCCCGGTGTTCCCTGTCTGCAGTGTTTTACTTCCCAGCCTGCTTTTTGACGTTTCTACTGCTTCCTCTTTAGTTCAGGTCCTCTCTGCTTTTGTCCTGTGTGTTGACTGTAGTCTCCAATGCTCTCTCTCTCCTCATTCAAAACATTTTTTGCATGCATTATTCAAGCTTCCCCATGGAACACATAGTTTGAAATTGGGTTGTTCGAGGACACTTATTGTTGTGATTTGGATGGGAAGTGTCCCCCAAAAGCTTATGTATGAGACAATGCAAGAACACTGAGAGATGAAATGATTGGGTCATGAGAGCCAAGCCCCTGATGGGATTAACTGAGTGGTAATCAAAAGCATGTAGGGTGTGGCTGGAAGAGGTGCATCAGTGGGGGAAAGCCTTTGGGTATGTATTTGGTGAGCTGAGCTTAGTCTCGCTCTCTCTGCTTCCTGATCGTTATGTGAGCCACTTCCCTCCACCACACTCTTCTGCTATGATGTTCTGCCTCACCTCGAGCCCCAAGGAATGGAGCTTGGTCTACGGACTGAGACCTCTGACACTGAGCCCTCAAATAAACTTTTCCTCTTCTAAAATTGTTCTTGTCAGGACTTTTAGTAACAGCAGTGAAAGAGCTCACTAAAACACTTATTAAGGGGACTTACAAAGGAAACTATAAAGGGGGATGTAGCAGTGTGTTGTAACCACCTCTTATACTTTAGGGGAGATCATAGGGCACTACTGGAACTTGGACAGAGAGTTATATGGAAGGGCTGCATTGAGAAATGCTATAATCAGTAATTGAGTGTCACAACCAGTCCAAGGCCACCCTGCAGAGAGAATGCAGGGAATAGAAACCACTACCTCAATCTCTTTTCTTCCATCTCCCTACTGTTCAACATTGACTGAACCCAAACTTAAGATGGAGGCCAAGAGAACCCACTTATGCAGTATATGTAGGGCAGTTTTCTTAGGGCACAGAAGAGGGTGGAGAAGGTTGGAGACCAGAGCTCAAGGACAGGTGGACCTTATCTATACCAATACTGATTAGATAGCTGGAAACTGGGCAAGGGATCTAAACTTTCCTCAGGGCTGACTGACGTCAGCCTTCTCTTGTATATTCTTAATGTTCTTTGATTAAATATCTAAGCAATGCTCTTGTTGGCTGCCCATCTACATTTCTCCTGGGAATACTGTGCTCCGTTATCCATCTTAATATCCCCTGAAACAGGCTTCTTTGGCTCCCCCTGCAGTAATTACACCCAGTTCGTTTCTAAAGTGCTGCCATCTGCACCTTCTTATTTTGGGGTGTCCGCATCCCATTGCTATTAGGGATCCAGTTCTGCAAAGCATCTCCTACTTCAGCCCCTGCCTGTCGAGGAGAGAGATCATGGACTTCTCAGTGATGCTAGTATGGCCCTCCCTGGCACATCCATTCCCACCTTAGGACAAGAAGTGCTCCCTGGATCTGCCCTAGGAGATCCAACAGAATCAACTCTTGGATTTTTGAAATTACTTACTACAGGAATTGGCAAAGTTTCTCTGTAAAAGGCCAGATAGTAAATTAGGCTTTGTGGGCCATATGGTCTCTTGCAAAAAATCCAACTCTGCCATTGTAGTGTGGAAGCACTATAGATAATATTTAAATGAATGAATATGGCTTTGTTCCAATACACCCTTATTTATAAACACTAAAATTTAAATTCCCTGCAATTTTCATGTGTCATGAAACATTACTTATTCTTTTTTTTTCTCTCCCTAATCACTTGAAAATGTAAATACAATTTTTTGCTTGTGGACTGTACAAAAACCAACAGTGGGCCAGATGTGACCCAGGGGTTTTAGCTTCCTCCATCTTGAGTTTGGTAGGTTCATTGTACCATTCTCCTTTTTCTGAGCATTTTGTTTTCTTCTTGCACTGTCTGCTGGAGCAGTGTTAGCATCTCCATTGAAAACAGTATGCTCTTACTTTTCTCTTGTGGCCCTTGTGAAGATGTTAAATCTTGTGTCATGAGATATGTGCCCATATTGGCAAATTAGCCTTTATCTGGTCTCCATATTCTCACCCACCTCAAGTCCCTCACCTTTGGGATCCACTCCCAGGCAAAAATCTCCTAGTTCCTGCTAGTAGTACATTGAAGCCAAGTCCTTTTCTGTATAACCTTTCCCTTTCCTTAGCAGAACCATCACTTCCACCATGAGTGTAGACCAACATTTTACCCTGTCTGATGGTGGAGGTGGAGGCAGATCCGAGCAGGGATTATATTCAATCAGGAAAAAGGGGACCCCCTTCTGTAGCTCCTGGTGGTGCAAGTGAAGCAGGTGTTTCAAAGCTCTCACTGCACCTACCCAGAGATCTACCTCCCAGGACTCAGAGTCTCCTCCTTTCCTATTAAGACCTTGGTTTTGGCATGAAATCATTGCCCAGTCTGTGAGTCCTTTGAGGTTCTGTCACTCTTAACAATTAACTCCTGGGCCTAGTCTTCAGCTGCTGAAGACGAGTGTCTCTTTAGATGCTGCCAAGGAAGAGCTTTGACTTCCACACTTGGTTGGAAGTTGGTGATGTGTCTGAGCCTGTCACTTTCTCTGTTCAGTGTATCAGAGGACCTTGTCAAGATCCAGTCACTCCCAGAGTCCTAAGAATTTCTGTTCACCCCATACTTCTCAAATACCAGAGCTAGTGCACCAGCTCATAGTCCCCTTCCGTCTGGGTCTCACCCCATTTCTTCACAAGTCTTGGAGTCAGCATTGCCTTCACCAGGAAGTATACCCTCCCCAGTCCCCTCCCTATGGCTACCTTGCAGCATCCTTCTCAGGAGCAACTGGGAAGAATGATTTACTGGGATGGGCCCTCAGATGAAGGGTAGTGAAGGTAACAATACAGGGTAAGGGAAGAAAGCTCAGCATGAATGTGACCTCAGCTTGAGACTTGACTGAAGCAAGAATTATATACAAAATTGGTTGCCCATTGAAGGAAGGAGCTGGCCTTTTGAAAACCTGCTTCAGCCAATGACCACTGACTGCTCACCAGGAAAGGCCAAGAGCAACTCACCAGAGAAGAGGCAGCTCACAGCCCAATGCTCCCAGTTTCTGGGGAATGGAAGAACCATTCAGATGTAGGAATCTGAGCATGACATCAACGACATTTCCTGCAGACCCTAGAAGCCAGCAGGTATGTGCCCGGGGCCTGCATTTCAGTCCCTAAGACAAATATCAAGCATTTGTTAGGGGCTCTGAGGTTGCCAAGAAGAATAGAGCCAGACCCTTCCTTCAGTGACGTCACATTTTGGAACATGGAGAAGATAGAAGGATAAATAGATAAATCTGAGAGAGTATTGAATGTTACAAGAGAGAACACCATATTCCAGCTCACGGGATGAAGCGGGTCAGAGAAGGCTTCTTGACAACATGGCTGCGGAGCTGAGTTGGGGAGAATAAATAGAACTACCTGGGAATGCACAGTGGGCACAGGGTACACAAAATCGAGAGGCAAGAAAGAGTGTCTGGCACTGTGCAGCTGTGAGAGGAGAAGCCGTTTGGCTGAGGAGAAAGCATGGCCTGGAATCAGACTAAGCAGGGTCAGTGCAGGATTCATGCTGAAGCACAGAGCTTTCCCTTGTCCTTTCAGTGCATCCCAAAGTAGACACGATAGAGTGGTTTCTGAGTTCCATGCATGACCTAGTCCAAGTGGGGCTCAAAGAAGATTCTTAATAAGTGGTGGCTCTCTGGCACCTAGACCCCAGGAATTGGGGTATGAGGCAGGAGAAGAAGCTGGAAAGGTGGGTGTGACCAAGTCACAAAGGTGTTTTGGAGGAATCAGTCTCCAGTGGGGAAGGTTTGAAATTATGGATATTCTTCCCCAAAGAATGCATCTGAAAATAAACTTTTAAAAATGTTTTATTAGTTGTTGATGGACCTTTATTTATTTATTTGTTTACATGTGGTGCTGAGATGGACCTTTATTTATTTATTTGTTTATATGTGGTGCTGAGAATCAAACCCAGCACCTCACACATGCAAGGCAAGTGCTCTACCACTGAGCCACCACCCCCAGTCCCCTAAAATAAACTTTTTAATGCAATTTAAGGGTATTTGCAAACGCCCTAAAGTCCAACTGTGCATGCCAGGTGAAGCACCCCTGCTGTAGGCAGTGGGTGCTATTGAAGAGTCTTACACAGACGTATGGATGGATCCAATTTTCATGTTCACAATATTACTGCTGGTGGCTGTGTGAAGTTGGGTTAGAAGTAATAGGGAGTCTAGAGTCAGGAAGGTATGAAGTGCAGTTGGCAGAGAAGACCAGAAGCAGAAATGGAATCAAGTTGGATGGGTTTTATGGATGATTCGAGTTCAGCATTAGCTTCCAGGTTTCTGGTGCCATAAATCAGAAGAAAAAATGTAGGGGCAGGAGCAGTTTGTTGGGGAGGGAATATGATGGTTTCTTCGGGACAAGATGAGTCTAAACTTGCCATCATCAGCCAGTGATGCACACTTAGCAGGTGGACATTTTAGAATATCATTTCCATATACTCACTTTTTAATTTGTTTGTTTCTAGAAGACATCTTTCAGAATCCCTTCGGTGGAAAGTGACCTCAGGAGATCACCCCCTGCACAGCAGGAGTGGAGCCCCAGCATCTCCTCATCCCCTGGAAACTATGTACTGGCAGGAGCTACCCCTGCTGTCCTCTGCAGTGTGCAGAGGGAAAATGACTATGCTGAGCCTCATGACTACTTTAATGTCCTGAGTTACAGAAGCCTGGGCAGCTTCAGCTTCCTCACAGAGACTGGTTAACAATCCGAGGCATCTCCTGGGAGATATGTTCCTGGCTTTGTATTATGGATGAATGTGTAAGCCTCTGTTCTCTCCATCCATCCTCTCTCTCTGTCTCTCTCTCTCTCTCTCTGTCTCTCTGTCTCTCTTTGTCTCTCTCTGTCTCTCTCTGTCTCTCTCTCTCTCTCTCTCTCTTTCTGTGTATGTGTGTGCTCACTTGAGTGAATAGATGTCATCCTCTTCTCCACCTTCACTTCCTCTGTCCTTCCCTTCCATTCCCTTATTGCAGACCAGAGGTGAATAACTTGCATCTTGGTCATGAATGTGAGTTTAAACAAAACAGAACAAAACAGAAACCAAAAAACACACACACCCCAAAACCCTTGACCTGGCTTTGCATCTAACATTTTGAGCAGACCCTGTGACTCCAAGAAACACACTCCTCATGATAGTGCCAGGCAGGATTTTGTGCTTCAGGGTGTGTGGTAGATGATGAGAATGAGTCAGGTACGAAGCCACCCTTGTAGCATTTCTCCTTGTCATTTTCATAAATATTCATTCATTCAAGGCAATTTATGAATGAGACATGGTACCAGCCTCGATGGTGAGGCTCAAGGGTGACTAAACCTTGTCTCTGCCCTTAGGAACATACAGTAAAATGGGGATACAATGTTTACATTAAAAGGTTATAAGGAGATGAAGACACAGGATGCAGGTTTTCAGGAAGAGATATCGGGTCTGGGTGAGGTGTTAGGGTGGGTTTAGCTGTGGTGAAGTGGCTTGGGGCACAAAGGGATCAATGAGGCTGGACTGGTTGTGGAGGACAAGATTTCTAGGGAACGGGCAGGAACTAAAGTCTATGCAGGTAAAAGTTCCAGGCACCAACGGAACCAAGGCATCTCAGATTTTATTCTCTGGACAGGGATTCAAGTCTCCCTTTTTTTGTGTGATATATTCAAAGTCCGAATGTGATAGCCTGATACAGAGGACCCCAGGCTCTTTCAACCCCATGTGCTGGGAAGCCCCCAGGCAATATGTGTCCACTGAAGAAACTGAGTCCTGGCATCTGGGTCAAGATACACCTTTTCTGGACCAATCTACCAGTGATCCACTGAAAATAGAACCTGTTTCCCACTAAAAGGAAAAATCTGGGTAAAGAGGGGGTAGATAAGAGTATGTGGGTGATAAAAGGTTTCAAAAGTAAACACCATTAAACTGGCTTCTTTGAACACTTTTATCTACTCTCGACTTCTTTGTGTCAGGGATGGGGCATCTGAGCAGTTCATTTCTGTTGAACTGTATTTAAACCAAATTTAAAAGACTTGATCCTTCTACCAACTCTTCGAGGGAATTACCAGTGAATGATTTCCTTTCATGGCACTGGAATTGAGAAAGACTGTGAAACAAGGCTGTCTCTCATCAACGACTAAAACAAAGCATATCCTGCTCTCCTAAGAAACAGCCTGGGGTTAAACAAAAAGACAATTCAACTCCTATTCCTCCTTATATTTGTATTTTTCTCACCTTCCTTCCAAATGGGTTTGTAGTCAGAAGCAGAGGATTGGAATCTGTCCCAAGCTCTGATCCTTGAGAAGAGAGATAAGTATAAAATGCTGTTGTTTTCTGTGGCAATTCACAGTATTTTTCTTGCAGAACTAGGAATGAAAATTGATTGGGAGTAGAACACAATTCATGAATTAGAGATGAACTAAAATGACATGACAGAGAGGGAGTGGTGCTTCAATTTGGAGGAGCTGTATATTGAGTGGAGGTTGGACTGAGAGTTGGTCCTTACTTAACATAGTTTTGGTCATTGGGAGATATTTCCAAACCATTGAGATGGTGATAAAATACCAAAGAGCCTATAGATGTTGGAAATGGGTCAGACTACCAAATGAGATTCAGTTGGATAGAAAATCAATTTCAAAATATAATTCACTAAACTAGATTGTCCTCTGAGAACACAATCCCCTCACAGACAGATTCCTGGGGACATGTGATGTCTAGGACAGTAGCCATTTTCCATGTGTAGCCTTCCAGCTCTTGAGGGAGGTTAATCCAACCTGGGATGAGCTGTGCGCATAAAACACATGCCCAATTTTGAAGACAATAAGAATCATAAAAAATATAAACTATCTCATTTGGATTTTAAAAACACCGATTACATGTCAAAACAATAACATTTTGGATTTATTGGGCTAAATAAAATGTATTATTAAAAGTGATTTTTTTTGTGTTTTCTTTTGTTTTTTAAATGCGGCTCCTGGAAAATCCACAAATGCATATGTGGCTGCCATTATATGTCTATTGGACTCTGCAGCTCTCGACTCTAAACCCAAGCCATGCTCGTTTCTGGGAGGGTATCTATCCATGTCAGTTTGTCTCTGTCTCTTATTCAAAATAGTGTTTGGCGAAGCTTTTCCCTCTTATTGTCTTCTGAAAAGTACAGAGGGAAGGATCACAGGGGAGACTGAGGGAGGGGACCACTAAGGGCTGACAAAGACATCCCAACATCTCCTGAATTCTTCTTGGGATCCATGACAGGAAGTGAGAAGAATAAAAGAATGAAGGAGAGTTCAGGAAGTTATGCAGTTACTGATTCCCTGCTGACATTCTGAGCCTGGGCTTATAGAGTATGAGCTATAACCCAGAAAATCATACTTAAAAGATGTGAGAAATTTCACCATGGAACTTTGAGATAGATGGTCTTCAATGTGGACAGGACCTTATCATAATACAACTTTGTTTCAAAATTTGTTTCTTCTCATTCTCTGAGCCCCAGAAATAAATGATCACACACTCATGTTTATACAGAGGCCATCTGATCAAGGCCAAGTATGAAGTCAAAAACAGGCTGTGCATTTATTTTCTTCCAGCTCTTCCCAAAGCTATCTGAGGTAGCTTAATGGTCCAACTCATGTAAACAAGGCTGAGCTGGACAGGCAGGAGGCTGTGTATGCTAAGTGGGAATGGAAGTATTCTGGAGAACTCATCATGCCCCGCAGAGAGGAGACAATGTATAGCTTGGCTGTGGGGTGGCTGCCAACTGTGGTGTGTGAGTTTTTTCCAGTCGTCTGATTCTTCCCAGTCCTGCTTACTGAGTATAGTAGTAGTCTCCCCCCCCTTGCGCCCCCCCCCAAACTCCAAAGCATAACTGTCAAGAGGCCCAATGGAACCTTATGTGTGGCAAAAGCCCACGTTTCTGGAAGTCAGAACATATGTGATGTTTGTGAGAATTATTTGCATAAGGTAGCATATAGGATGGTGGTGTCCAGTAGAACTTTCTATGATTCTAGAAAAGTTCTATGTCCATGCTGTCCAATATGGAAGTCACTAGCCACATGAGGCTATACAGAACTTGAAATCTGGCAAATGTGACAAAGGAAATTCAATTAATTTTAACCAACTAAAATTTAAATGTAAATAATGATACAGAACTGGTGGATAGGGATATCACAACGGATATCACAACTATAGTAACTACCTTGCATATGGAAGAAACACAGATAGCTGTGTTTATAGACATTTGATGACTCGACAGTTGTTAAGCTTTTAACAGGGTACCTAGCAGGAAGAGACATCAAAATTCCCTTATTCTTCTGTGTCCTTTCTCTGATCAAGACCAAGTATGAAGTCAAAAGCAGGCTATGCATTTATTTTCTTCTAGTTCTTCCCAAAGCTATCTGAGGTAGCTTAATGATCCAGCTCCTGTAAACAAGGCCAGGATTGTTGGGAAGTTTGCAATTCAATGGTGTTAGCAGGAATATATTTTCATCATAGGACTTTCGAGGACAGCAGTCATTCTGATTTCATGTGGGTTGTAAAGAACATCTTTTCTGGAACTAAAACTCTAATAGATTATATAGAGATCAAAAAGAAACCACACTGTATATTGGACTAGAAACTGGACTACTTGGTCCAAATACGGATCTCTGCAGTTTAGCTTCATGAGTTTGGATGAGTTAACCTTTCAGAGTCTCAGTAACTTCATTTGTAAAACGGTAATCATTATACCTACTTTATAGGGTTTTTAAAAGGATGAGGTTAAGAATGTGGTTGACTGCTTTGTAAGCTATAAAATGCTACGTTAATAATTAGTATTGTATTGTGAGCCAAGGGCATGTGCGTTGTTCATGCTATAGAAGTTTCCAAGGGGCAACAAACCTTTTGGGAATAACCAAGGAATCTGGAATCAATGTCCTTAAAACCTGGGACTTAAGGAAACCTAAGAGTTTCACATAGAGCATGGGTTCTAGAGGCACCTGTAAGCATTTACAAATCTTGTTTTTTAAGTGAGATGATGATCTTTAAAAAAAAATCAAACATATCTTGACTATCGATGGACTTCTTATAACAGGGTGCTGCATTATTTTCAGTCTCTGTGTTTATAATCAAGTTGATTTCAAGGTGCAAAGGCGTCATTCATAAATGATTCACTTGCTACAGGTGGTTGGAGCAGGGAAAGAGTTTGCAGTAGCTGACATACTGAGAAAGTGGAGGGAGGATTGTCTTCACTTTGCACACTGTGGAGGAGGGATGCTGAATTCAAGAAATATGTCAAGCTAGCAGCACACTTTGTGAGCTGTGATGGAGTCAGCAAAGCATCATCTAAAGCATTAAATTAACTTTATTAAGAATGTAAATAATTTTATAGCTTTACTTGTATTTATTTTGTAACTTAGGTTATAAAATTCTGTTTGAGCTATAAGCATAACGGGTTTATCTGATATCACCTTTGAGTCAATTTAAGAATATTTATAATAAAAATATAATTATGCATTATATTATAATTTATTAGTAAATAACAAAAATAATCAAACTTCCTCCCATGAGTTCTTGGAGAAATTTTTTTCCTAGAAGTATATGTATTTCTCAAGTTTAAGAAATACTGGGGTGTGTAACTACCATTGATTTCAGAAAAACCTTGGTTTAAACTCTATTATATTAATTGTTTTACATTAGCAAAAAATATTTCTGAACCTCTGTCTTAGAAGTTGATATAATAATAGTTCCCTTATAATGTTCACAGTGTAGTTACGACTATGGATGAAATTATAAACTATTATTAATTTATTAAATTATAAATTATTACAGTGCCATTTGAATAGTGTATGCATTATTTACAATGACCATAGCCCATGCCTAGACCACACCATGATGTGTTCATGTGTAGAAGAGGTTTCCAGAGATCTCTTTTGGAATTCTCTGCAGGCCCCTGAGCTCAGATCTGGAGATTGTTGTGCTCCTCACACCAGGGGAAATGGCTGACCACACTCACTTCCTCCAACTCAAAGCCTAATGTCCTTCTGAGTCACCAAACTAGATTGTTTATTTCTTAGATACGTCCTTGATTTACTCTAGACATTGTCATCTTTTGTTATTTTATAAATTCCCATGGCACTGAGAGTCTGAGAGTATAAAATACCTCTTGATTTTATATGAACCTGTATTTCTAGCTGCTAGATCTTAAGGTTTATTAGAATGTAATAATTTCTTCCTTTGCATTCATGCACTGCATGGTGTTGAGTGAAATACAGGTGCTCAATGGGTTGTCTTCACCAGAAACAAATAAAGATGTGTTTGCCTCCTCACATTAGCAATTTCTATGAGAACAGGAAGACTAGAGAGCACCTATGGGGATAGTCACGTATAGGAAAGGGTGTAGGGAACAAATAGGAGTCTCTTAGTCTCTTAAATCTTTTTGAATAGAGATATACTTTGTGCCATAATGTTTCTATTTTGCATATAGATCCAAGAACCCCAAAAGATAAAAAGGAGGCTCTGTGATAGATTCTCAGCATAACAGTGATGAGGGGACATGAGGGTAGGGGGGCATAGTGCCATGTGGGATTGGTTATTTCCCACAGCAGATAGATGCTGGTTTTCATGTGAGAAAAGACAAAAATGTGAATGGGTTTATACAGTAGTAAATGAGCCTTGTCATCATTTTGAAGTTTGGACTGGTGTAGGATGATGCCCAAATTTGTCTGGTATTTTCCCAAAGTGAGTTCAGTATCACCAGTCCTGTGATTCCTACTGCTTGTATCAAGAGGACTGATATATTGATTTATTTTTTTTGACCTTCCAGGTACAGTCCTCTATTTGCATAATCTCAGACTATAGCTAGACCCAAAGTGTAAAAAACATGTGGAGAGCTGCCCCAAACAGACTATATGCCATGCCCACCACATGAAGAAGGCACCAATGGAAACCAGGAGAAGAGTTTTTTTTTTTTTTTTAATTATTCCTTCATATTCAAACTTCACAAACAGTGTGAACTTGTACAATACCTCGGAAAGTGAAACTTACAAAAAAAGTGCTGGTAACATTTAAAAAAAAAAACAACAAAACCCCAAAAAACAAACATCATTCTTAGCAACATCAATTACTCTTCCACACAAAACAGAAACCTTGTAAAATTTATTTTCGTATTTTTAAGGCGTAATACTTCCGTATAAAGTATATGCAAGAGATAAAACTTCACAGTATTCCAAAATGTCACAATAATAATAATAATATAATAGTATAATGAAGCGCTACAGTTAATTTTTCTTTTTTTTTTGAATGTTTTTTTCCTGTTTAAATAACAAATACAAGTCACAGGTAAATATACGTGAGAAAAATACGAGGCTAATATTAAATGGCAGGTAAGGATACTGTCACTGTAAGAAAAAACTGGCAGGATGTGTGTATTTAGTCTATATTTTAAAGCACTTGATAGAAAAGGCGTATGCAAGGTTTTTCAAAACAATTTTTTTTTCTGTTTGTTTGTTTGATAACTGACAACAAGTTAAGAGTATAATGAGAAAAAAAAAAAGGAACAAACTCCCTCTCAAAACTATTGACCTGCTCATCCCAAACCATGTACATATTGATGGATGGATGTGTGAGTTCATGGATTTATACAGCACACAGATTGGTACCAGCAATGTTCCATGCCCGCCTGCAAAGATTGAAGGGTAGAGTCTGCAGTCATTCAGCCCAGCCTCCTCTTAGAAAATTATTCTTTCAATTTAAAGCTCTCTTTCCTTTCCTCTCTTTCCAAACTCTTCCCCAATTCGTTGTTGTTCAGTCTGAAAAGACATTCTGATTAGAAAAGTTTCTCTCCATTCAAAATGCACTGGGAAATGGAAGCTGCATATACAGTGCCACCCACACGGACATTGGAAAT